AGTGTGGATGTGGCTTATCCCTCTGAGGAGATACAGTAAGGCTGTGTTGACACAAAAACATAGCTCTCTCTTCAAAAGAATTAAACAGTTTATCCTGGAGCAACTGTAAGTCATCACAGCCCAGGAACACAGATTTACAGATTTAGATACCCCAAATACATGATGCCCACAAAAATTAAGCATCAAGACAATAAAAAATCTGGAAAAATGAGTTATGGAAAAGAACAGAAATTCTCAAAGGAAGAAAAACAAGTGGCTCATCAGCTCTTTCAAAAGTGTTCAACATCTTTAGCCATCAGGGACATTTGGCTAAAACTCTACTAATATTCCATCTGAGCTAATCAGACCGCTCGTCACTGGGAATGCAAACGGGAACATGCTGGGGTGGGTGTGAGGAAAGAGCAGTGCTTGCACACAGCTGGGGAGAGATGTACACCACTGCAGACATGCTGGAAATCAATCTCCAGACGCTAGAAGTAGAACGGCCACATGGACCACACACCCCTCCTGGGCATGTACACAAAACACTGTAGAGCCTACTACAAAGAGAAACTATTCTTAAGAAATTGTCAGGTCCCATCTGTACTGAATCCAACCTTTCCACCCAGCCAGACCTCCCACATCCTCCTTGAGACTCTACTCTGGTGAGTCTCCCTGACCCTCCCCATCCACCCTTCTTGCAAACCCACAGCATCTACCCCAGACCTAGTCTGAACACTGCTACCTGCAGCCAACCACTAGCTACCTGCCACCACGCATAGGTCTCTTCTGAACCACCCAAACTCTCCTCCCAGCCAACTCTCCATGTCATTCAGCAGGGTCTGGCCTTGTGAGACTGATCAGTCACACCTCCCTAGTCCACCAGATCTAGCCTGGGACCCTTATCCAATGTTCTAGCCTAGTTTGGTCACCCCCGCCTGTACTGCAACCTACCTTTTCCAGGACCCCCACACCCTATCCCCAAACCAGCAGGGCCCTCCCACGACACATCCATTCCCCACCCAGTGTGTCCATTCACATACTCCAGTCTTGGACAAGGAGGCACATCCTGTACATCAGGTCTGTGCCCTCTGTGAAAGCTGATTTCATTTCATCCCATCCATTTCCAACAATTAAGCCTAGCCCACCCTCACATCCTCTTCTCTGTCTCAACCTGCTCTATCCACATCAGACTGAAAACTAACAAAATAATCCACATGCCCAGATTTCAATGCAATAATACCAACAAGGTGAAAGGTTGACCTGGCAACTTCTCTCCAAACCCACGAGTCTTTTAGAAGTTTGACAGTGAGAATTTCCTAGTTGAACTCCAAGACACAGAATGTAAAAGAACAGTCATACACATCATCAACAGGGTCAAGGAGTTAAAGATGACAAAACAAAGCTGGATGAAATTAATGAGAGAAAGACTGAGGAGAATAAACATCTGAGTGATGGCCAAGAGAACACAAACACAAGGCTGATGGAAATGACAAGGACCATCTAAAACTTGAGAATGAAATTCAATAAGGAGATAGAAATGCTGGAAGGCCTCAAGCTAAGATGAAGATATAATTTAAAGACCCAATAGTTCAACTCTAAAACTCAAAGGAAAGTTGAATAAATCAAGCAAAAGATAGAATATCATGACTCAAATATAAGGTGGAGCATCTAAACCAAATAAGCCAAGGATATGGAAAAAAATCAATACAGGAAAGGAATATATAGGAGCTGTGGGACATCATGAAAAACCCAAACCTCCAAATTATAGGCATAAACAAGGGAGAAGAATCTAAAGTCAATGGCATTGACCAGATCTGCAACAAGATTGTAGGAAAAAACTTCCCCAAACTAAGGAAAGACATACCATACAGATTCAAGAAGCACATAGAACACCAAATAGACAAGACTAGAACTAAAATTCCCAATGATATATCACAACTAACAACTAACAAACTAAGTATACAGAACACAAAAGGGTATGGAAATCTCCAAGACAAAAACACAAATGACATAAAAAGGAAACCAGCAGAAAAGCAGCCGACTTCTCAATGGGAACTATGAAAGCTGTTGTCTTCAATGGAGAACAATGGAAGGCTATCAAAAAGAAAAAAAGTTTTCCTGAAGACCCAGAGCATACTGAACACACAGGTCTGCTTTCTTCATCATAGTATCAGGCCTTTACTTACAAGCTGTTAGAATCTAATTATTTCTACATGGTTTCAAAGCAAAAGATATTTGAACCAAATATGAAGGTCTGAGAATTCATAATGAAATTCATCTTATGAAGGTAGTAGAATAAATTTGTGAGGCAAGGTGAGTATATTTAATATAAGCAGACCTTGTTTGGAAATATGCCCTGAAGGCAGAACAGTGGGGAGTCCTGGGGTATGTTGAGGCCTTTACTGTTTTTAGGTGCACATTTTAATCTCTTTGTGTATATGATATGTATGTGTTTATTGTGTTAGTGGTGACATGTCCATGCCATATGTGCATATGGAAATGAGGACAGCTTTGGGTATCGGTCCTCAACTTTCATTTGAGATGGGGTTTCTTAACTGTTACTCTGCACACATCAGGATCGCCGGCCTGCAGTCTTCCCAGGATTCTCTTACCCCACCTCTCAGCTCACTGCAGGAGCACTGGGTTTACAGATGTGCACCGTGCCAGCCTTCGCTGGCTTCTGTGACTCTAACTCAGGTCCTCACACTTGTGCAGCAAGTGCTTTATACACCGAGCCCCCTCCCGAGCCCCTAATTCCATAAACAGTTGGTCATTTCATGATCTAGACTTGACATTTTCCTTTTCTTGACTTACAGGCAAGCAGGCCTTATAGCACTGTTGGTGAAGGCAGGAGTGATTTCTGAAAAGCCTTTATGGGAATGGCAGAGCATGGAAGCTGTGGCCACAGACCTGAAGGTAAGTAGTGCTGTCAGTGAATCAGGGGGTTTTACTGTTTAAGCTGTTTGACACAGTGTTGCCCTAAACCTGCCATCGTGCAAACCATGGGCAAGACTGTTAGCTTACTCCGAGGTGAGGAGCGGGAACCCTAGAGAAAAGGCACATAGGTACTGATTGGTAATGGTTTTATTCCTGGTCCACATATATATGCACATTTCCTTTCAGTCTTTGGGTGATGGATTAAATACTTGACCGAGGGAGGGCAAGAGATGTAAATCATGGCTTGTCATGTTTTAAAGTGCATAAAAAAATGTTGAAAAACGAATATAATCTGGATTACATTTTAAAAAGTTATTGACACCCTAAGTAACTTTGAAAATATTAGCAGTTTGAAAAACTAGATCTAAGGCCAAAGATGTTGGATATTTATGTGGCTGTTTTAGGATTTCACTGTCTGCATTGAAATGTTCCTTGTGGCATTGCCCATCATTATTCATTCTCCTATAAACCCTACGTACAAGAGGCAGAGGAATTCTCATGCTTTGACTCTTTCCTGGCTATGGGATGTGTCAGATATCAGAGATGATATTTCTGAAAAGACGCCTGGGTAAGTAATAGCTGTTTAACTTTTGTTAGTGTGAGTGTGTATATGGGAGGGAGTGTCTGCATGTGCAGGTAGCATCAGAGGTGAACCTCAGGTGTGGCCCCTCAGGAGCTGTTCAGCTTGGGTGTAGCAAGAGTTTTCCTGCCTGGCCCACAGTCAGGACAAATCTCTCTCACCAGCCAGTCCCACAGCCGCTCAGACCCGACCAAGTAAACACAGAGACTTATATTGGTTACAAACTGTATGGCCGTGGCAGGCTTCTTGCTAACTGTTCTTATATTAATCTTATATTAATCTTAAATTAATCCATTTTCATTAATCTCTACCTTGCCATGTGACTCGTGGCTTACCGGCATCTTCACATGCTGGTTGTCATCGTGACAGCTGGCAATGTCTCTCTGACTCAGCCTTCCACTTCCCAGCTTTATTCTCCTCCTTGTCCCACCTATACTTCCTGCCTGGCCACTGGCCAATCAGTGATTTATTTATTGACCAATCAGCAACACACTTGACATACAGACCATCCCACAGCACTTCCCCCCCCCTTTTTTTTTTCAAAAAGGAAGGTTTTAACCTTAACAAAGTAAAATTACATATAATTTTGGAATTTGGGCGTAGCTTCTCTTACTACTTCCTGGTGGAGGTGGGCGCTGTATCTTATGGGGACAGAAAGAAAATTTTAGGCTTATGGGGTAGTCCGTGAGGCTGTATTGTGTGAGCCAGTTGCCTTGAAACCGTTCTGGATGTTAAATCTGGGCCATGGTGTCATTGGAGACCTTTCAGGGGGTCTTGGCTGGTCAAACCTGATGTATCTTAATCTGGAACAAATCCATAGCCTCTGGCTTTCTGTGGAAACAAAAGCAGAGTCTCCTTTCCAAAGCAACATATCCTTATATCCAAATTTTGAAGTCAAGGTACCTTTAACATATACATTTTGGCATAACTCAACAGCTTTTACATTCAAATGTTTTTCTGCAGTTAAAAATCCCAAAGACAACACAATCCAGATTCTCTGTGTAATATCCATTTTTACCTGGCTTATTTTTTATACTATCTTTACTGTCTCTTTAAAGACTTTATTTTTAAAAACTATTTACTTCTTTATATAACTGTATATATTCCTTTTTCTCTCTCTTTCAAGCCTACATACATTTTTACACACATTGTAAACCATTACATCTGAATCTGTCTTATTGTGAATCTATTGCTTTAAACTGCAGCAGCTGTGGCTGCTGGCTCCGCCCACCTCAGCTTCCCAGCATGGTGGTGGTAGGTTTTCCACCAGCTCTGGGAGCTATCATGGGTCTATGCTTTTATCCAAGCAGTGTGTAGGCCAGAAATCTCTTTTTTCGTTTTGTACTAGCAAAGGCTAAATCCACCACGCAGTTTAATGTGCCACTTGCAGAGGCCTCATTCCCGCCATATTGCAGGTCAAGCGTGCATGCTTGGAACCCACTAGTAGCTCAAACCGGCAGCTGCTGCTCATTTGAGAGAGACAATAGGAACTGTTTTTAGCTCCGTTTTAGAATCTTTATTCTCAGGTTTTAGGTGGAAACTCTTGCCACCACATTGGACGCCATTTGTAGCTAGAGTTTTCCTGCCTGGCCCACAGTCAGGACAAATCTCTCTCACCTGCCAGTCCCACAGCCGCTCAGACCCGACCAAGTAAACACAGAGACTTATATTGGTTACAAACTGTATGGCCGTGGCAGGCTTCTTGCTAACTGTTCTTACAGCTTAAATTAATCCATTTTCATTAATCTCTACCTTGCCTTGTGGCTCGTGGCTTACTGGCATCTTCACATGCTGTTTGTCATCGTGGCAGCTGGCAGTGTCTCTCTGACTCAGCCTTCCACTTCCCAGCTTTATTCTCCTCCTTGTCCCACCTATACTTCCTGCCTGGTCACTGGCCAATCAGTGATTTATTGACCAATCAGCAACACACTTGACATACAGACCATCCCACAGCACTTGGGTTTTGAAACAGGGTCTTTCACTGTCCTGGGGCTCACAGATTGAGCTAGGATTGCTGTCCAGAGGCCCCAGGATCCAACTCTGTCTCACTAGCACAGGACTGCAAGCATGCCCAGCTTGGGACCTGTGCTGAGGATGGAACTCAGGTCTTCATTCTTGTGTGGCAAGTGCTTTACAGACTGAGGTATCACCCCAACCCAAATACACAACATTTTCTAGTAATTTAAGAAATAAGAACATATTTAAAACAGTACCATGATACAGGCTCTTCAAATCTGGGAGAACAAAAAGAGAACTATTTTTAGAATGGTAAAAATAACTTTTGGCTAATAAATTTATATTATCTTAAAGGGAGAACAATGCGAGGGTATCAGAAAAAAAAATGTTTCCTGAAGACCTAGAGCATACTGAACACACAGGTCTGCTTTCCTCATCGTCACAAGATGCAGTTTCTGCAGATTCAAAGCCATCCTCACCCCAGGGCCAATATCAGGACTTTGGACACATGATTACTTCACAGTAATCATGCAGCTGCTGCATCCAAGCTATGTGAAGACATTGTGATTGATGTTCCAGAAGAGCAGGAACCTCCTGATACAGGCCAACATCAAGACTTGGAAGACATAGTTGCTTCATAGGATACACTTTCTGAGGCCAAGCTTTGTGAAGATGTCATGACAGATATCCCCAAAGAGTAGAAAGAGCCCCCTAACCCATCAACGCATTCTTAAAGGTTCCACAATCCTCTTTGTGTGTAGGCTCAAAATCTGGACAGTTCAAAATGTTGGAAAAATTCAAAGGTAGGCAAAAACCAGATATAACTACTGTATATAATATACACACACATATAATACTAATACACATATGTTAGTATATATATATATTTGTATGTTTTATATATCACAAATAACATTTACATTTCCTACGCTTTGGCTTTTTTAAACTGTTAGGGTATCACATATTCAAACAGTAGGAAACTACTTCAGCTGAATACTTGCATTTCTCACGAGGATGGACATTTGAAAACAAAATCAGTGCTTCTTATCACTGCATGAATGTAATGCTCTGTCTAGACTGAAAATGTAAACATAAGATTAATATTAATTTAATTTAATCATAATCATGTACCATTTAATTTTATATAATTATACTTCAATTACATGTCTTTCAATAAATGCAATACCATTTTCTGAAACTCTTACATGTCTTACTCTTTTACTCTTCTCTTTTTTTGTGTGACAGGGTTTCTTTGTATATCCCTGGCTGTCCTGAAACTCCCTCTGTAAACCAGGCTGCCCTTGACTCATAGAGACCTGTAGAACCCTGGCCCCCCATTTGGGGTAGCTGCCGCCTTGCTTGCTGACCTTGACCAGATGTCCTCCCTATGCTGATTCCCTGCCAGTTTCCTTCTTTCTGAATGCTCACCGGAGGTTCATTGTTCCTGTATCCTGCATTTGGTGTAAACAGCTTAGATGCAAGAATGTAGAACATTGGTAGTGAACTTCTGCCCTCTGGGGTTCTCCCATTGTGCTGTAAGCCTGTATTTAAGGCCTCCTCCCTCCTTCAATAAATGGCATTTGGCATTCTGCTGGGGCAAATGTCCCGCTGTCTCTTGTCTTTATTTTTTAATCCACAGCCCCTCACTCGGACATGGTGAATGGGTGGTGGTAGTGTGGGTGTTACCATAACAAATGGAAGTCCCACTAAGATCCAAGAAAGAAGGGACGTAGCTGATGGACACTCAAGTAAGGCTGGCCAGCAATTTAAAGAAAAAAGAAAAGATAAGGGTGAATTGAAATGGGTGCAGCTAGCTCACAGTCAGTTGATTGGACTGTTGAAGCAGGAGGGCACCGAAGTTAAGATAGGGCAAGACAGCTAAAGATTTCATGAAAATAAAAAAGGAAATCTTCCCAATAGAGAAGAGGGAAGGAAAGGAAATTTCCTGTTAGAAAAGGAAAGAAAATTTTAATTAAAAAAAAAAAGAATTTTCCCAATAAAAAGGAAAAAAATTTAAAACTAGGCCTAAAGATTTTGGGGCCCTATAGAAAAAGGATGAAGAAAAGAAAAAAAGCCTCTTCCCAATGGTAATGGAAAAAGAAAAGGCTCTTTCCAATTTCAAAATTTTCAGGATAGCTAAAACTCTGAGCTTTTTCTGCCTGCCAGCACAGAGTGCCAACACCCGAATTACCAAGAGTTGGCAGGTGAGGCTCACTGCTGCTGGCTAAAAAACGACCAAGCCCAGAGCTTAAAGTTTTGCTGTCTGTTTGCTTATTTTGGTTTAAATATTTGTTTGTTTGTTTGTTTGTTTTTCCCTCAGAATGGGAATAATTCAATATTTAGGATCCCTTAGTGGGAAATGTTTTTCTGTTTTTTCCTTATGGTGGGAATAACTCACTATTAAGGTAGTCCCTTCATGGGAGTAAGAGAAAGCTTAAACGGGAATGCGTGGTGAGAGTGCGCGCACCCAATGTGGCGAACAAAGGCGCGTGCAAGCTTGTACGAGATGGCCCAGAGTGGCGGGTGGACAGGTACACGCCAGTGGGAGGAGGAGCTGCGATGGAGCAGGCCCGGGCAGGAGCTGGCACTACAGCCCAAGCACCGGGCAGAGCCAAAGCCGAAGCCACAGCCTGACAATGGAACAACTGTATGAGAAGATTAATGTTGATCGAATTATGCAGTTTATTACGATGCTTATCCTCATTTTACTATTTAAAAAGATAGTCAATTTAAGTGCCAGGTTAAAAGTTTTAGAAAAACCTATTAAACCTGTTAAAATGAATTATAGAGAAATTCAAATTCAGACAGAAGAAATTAACAGTGAAGTTGTTTCAAGATTGGATCATAAGGTTACAGAAAGAAAGCCTGTTTTCACACAATCACCCTTAATTTATCGGGTAACCATACAGCAGTTGCCTAATCAAATGACTACACAAAATATTTGGGCTCCAATTGAAATGTTAAATTTATGAAGGTTTAAGGAGGCAATAGTATCTTATGGCATGCATCCCCCATATGTAAAGCAAATGATAAACTCCTGGTCAACATATAATAGGATTATACCACAGGACTGGCGGGAGCTGGCACAGGCTGTTCTGGAACCCAGTCAAAGGCTCCAGTGGCAAATGTGGTTCAGGGATAAGGCTAAAAACATAGAAAAACAGTGGAGGGATAAAGGAATACAAGTCTTCCAGGATCAGCTTATTGGAGAAGGCCAATATGCTTCAGCACAAACACAATGTTTATATGATGTCCAAATCCTAATTCTATGTTGAATGGCAGCCTTGAATGCATGGGACAGAGTTGAGGAACCAGGAAAAAAACTGAGTCATTTACAAAGGTTATACAAGGCCCCAAAGAATCCTTCACAGATTTTTTACAAAGACTGGCTTCAGCAGTAAAGAGAATGGTCCCGGATTCAGAAGCTAGTCAGATAATAATTGAATCTTTGGCTTTTGAGAATGCGAATGCAGCATGCAAAAGAATAATCAGGCCGTTAGGGCAAGATCTGCACCTTTGGAAGATTGGATTAGAGACACGGTTAATGTTGAGGCTCATCACCATGATGATATGTGGGTAGGAGAAGCAATTTCAAAAGGTTTGAGGAATGTTAGATGTTTTGGATGTGGAAAGCAAGGACATTTGAAAAGGGACTGTAAACAGGTCATTCCTAGAAACAATGTTTCTTCAAGGAACAATGGCAACAGAATGTCCCTTCCTTCTGGAGTATACAGAAGGTGTGGTAAGGGAAAACACTGGACCAACGAATGTAGATCAACAAGGGACAGGCAAGGTAATCCTTTGCCTTGGGCTTTGGGAAACTCCCAGAGGGGCCTCAGGCAGGCCCCCATAGCAAATCCAGTTCAAACCTTTCCTGCAGTTGTAGAGGAAACCCCTACTCAGAGCAATTAAATAACCAAATGCCTATTGGAATAAATCATGCTGGTTGGGATGATGAAACAGAGAGAACAGAAAATTCAGGAGAAAACATAAATTTTTTTGGCAAACTTCTATTAATGAACAAAGACCAAAATTAACGATAAAAATAAATGGTGTTTTTTTTTTGGTCTGGTCTGGTAGACACCGGTGCGGACGTTACCATACTTGCACCAGAATTTTGGCATCCAACTTGGCCTCTTCAGGAGGTAAACGTACAACTGTTATGAATTGGAACATTATCTCAAGTGAAACAGAATGCAAGATGGCTCAAATATATAGGTCCAGAAGGACAGAGAGGAAAATTAAAACCATATGTGGCTAACATAGCTATGAACCTGTGGGGTCGAGACTTGTTGCAACAATGGAATACTCAGATTAACATTCCTCCAATCTCAGAAACAAATCATAAACTAGCACATGTTTTTGAGAGAAATATTAGAAGATATTATTCTATTGAGTGGTCACCAGCCATCCATATTATACAAGAACAGGGTACAACAACTGATGACCTTCCAAAGACACCAACAGCTCTACCTTTAAAATGGTTAATAGACAAGCCTGTATGGGTTCAGCAATGGCCTTTAACAACAGAGAAACTCCAGACTTTAGAAGAGCTGGTAGAAGAACAGTTAAATGCTCAGGATATTGAAGAATCAACCAGCCCTTGGAATTCTCCTGTATTAGTTATTAAAAAGAAATCTGGTAAATGGAGAATGGTAACAGACCTTAGAGCAATTAACAAAGTAATTCAGCCAATGGGCTCTCTACAATCTGGAATTCCTTTGCCTACTCTGTTACCAAAAGGATGGCCTCTCATAGTTATTGATTTAAAAGACTGTTTCTTTTCAATACCCTTACAAGAAAAAGACAGAGAAAGATTTGCTTTCACAGTGCCTACTTATAATAATTCTCAACCGGTTAAAAGATTACAATGGAGGGTCCTCCCACATTGAATGTTGAATAGCCCAACTCTGTGCCAATATATTGCACAACAGCCATTGGAAGTGAAACGTAAAAAGTTTCCTAAATCTATAATTTATCATTATATGGATATTTTACTAGCTGACTCAAATGCAGATACTTTAGAAAGAATGTTTGAAGAAGTAAAGAAAATTTTGCCTTGCTGGGGATTACAATTGCTCCTGAAAAGATACAAAGAGGAGATTTTATTAATTATTTAGGATATAAAATAGAGCTACAAAAAATTAGACCCCAAAAGGTGCAAATTAGAGAGATCGACTACAGACACTTAATGACTTTCAAATATTATTTGGAGATATTTCTCATCTATGAACTATTATTTGGGTAAAAAAATGATGAACTGAATAATTTGTTCAAAACCTTAGAAGGTGACAAGGACTTAAATAGTCCAAGAGAATTATCACCTGAAGCTGAGAAAGAATTGGCCTTGGTAGGAAAAAAAGTACATGAAGGGCATGTGGATCATATTGATCCAAAGCTGGATTGCATTTTGGTTATTTTACCTTCTAGGCATTCTCCTACAGGAATATTAATGCAGAGGGAAGATATTATATTAGAATGGATATTTTTACCAAATAAACCAAATAAAAAATTAAAAACTTATGTGGAAAAAATCTCTGACTTGATTTGGAAAGGAAAATTGAGACTTTGTCAATTAGCAGGAATAGACCCAGCAGAAATTGTCATACCTTTAACTAAGGAGGGCATTGAAAAATTATGGACAGAAAGTGAACCTTGGCAAAGAGCTTGCAGTAATTTTTTGGCAGAAATTAACAGCAAATATCCCAAAAGCAATAGAATTGATCTTATAAAGAGAGCTGATTGGATCTTGCCTCGAGTTGTACAGGAAAAACCCATATCTGGAGTTGGTACATTTTATACAGATGCCAACAAACAAGGAAAAGCAGGTTACAAATCAGAAAATTTTTTTTTTGGGGGGGTTTTCGAGACAGGGTTTCTCTGAGTAGCTTTGCGCCTTTCCTGGAACTCACTTGGTAGCCCAGGCTGGCCTTGAACTCACAGAGATCCGCCTGCCTCTGCCTCCCGAGTGCTGGGATTAAAGGCGTGCACCACCACCGCCTGGTACAAATCAGAAAATTTAAGTAAAGTGCTTCAAAGTCCTTATAATTCAGTTCAAAAATCAGAATTGTATGCTATTCTGTTGGTATTAATGGATTTTTCAGAACCTCTCAACATAGTAACTGACTCTCAGTATGCTGAAAGATTAGTATTACATATTGAGACTGCAGAATTTATCCCTGATGCTTCAGAATTAACTTCACTATTTATTCAATTACAAGATACAATCAGTAAAAGGAGTCATCCTTTATATATAACTCACAGCCGATCCCATACTGGTCTGCCAGGCCCTCTAGCACAAGGCAATGATGAGATTGATAAATTATTGATAGGAAATGTGCTGGAGGCCTCAGAATTTCATAAAAAAACATCATGTCAATAGTAAAGGTTTAAAAAAGGATTTTTCCATAACCTGGCAACAAGCCAAAGAAATAGTAAAGAAATGTCCTACTTGTTCCTTCTACAATCAAACGCCATTACCAGAAGGATGTAACCCAAGGGTACTCAGAGGAATGAAATCTGGCAGATGGACATGTTTCACTTTGCAGAATTTGGAAAATTGAAATATGTACACCATACCATCGATACTTACTCAGGATTTCAATGGGCAACTGCTTTGAGTTCTGAAAAAGCTGATTCTGTCATCACTCATTTGCTAGAAGTTATGGCCATCATGGGTATACCTGCACAAATCAAAACTGACAATGCTCCAGCATATGTCTCTGTTAAAATGAAACAGTTTTTTGCTTATTACAATATAAAGCATATTATAAGTATACCACATAATCCTACAGGCCAAGCAGTTATAGAAAGATCAAACAGAACTCTAAAGGATATGCTAAATAAACAGAAAGGGGTAACAAAAACCCCCAGAAACAGACTGCATAATGCTCTATTAACTTTGAATTTTCTCAATGCCAATGAGAACGGAACAACAGCTGCAGAGAGACATTGGATAATAGAAAAAACTACAGAATTAAATCAGCCTATATACTTTAAGGATGTGCTGACCTCAGAATGGAAACCAGGGTATGTGTTACGTTGGGGACGAGGTTTTGCTTTTGTTTCTACAGGAGAAGATAAGCTGTGGGTACCATCAAAGTTGATAAAGGTTTGATTTGAACAAGAGAGACCTCTTAATTAGAGGAGGTGATAGTTCATCAACCAGCATGAACATCCAATTTAACTAATTTATACCAGTAACACATGCCTTTTCATTTAATCAGATAATAACTTGCCAAAAAGGAACATCCCCAAAATTAGTCTTGGGGAAAGGTTTTTGTTTTTGTCTTTCAGGAGAATGAAGGTTAAGGAATCTGAAGAACACTGGACAAATGAGACGACTGAAGAAAAGAGACAAACCATCTATCCTAAGAAACAGAGTGAAATGGCATATGGGTATATATTATCTAAAAAATTTTATGTCTTCCTAAGTGTTTGTTTCTGCTCTTCTCTAAAGATCTAACACTATTGGTCTTCTAATAGTCCCAGTTCAATTAAAATTTAAAGCTGACTTTGGAGTTGGAGAGTGGCTCTCTCCTTCTTTAAACTCAAACATGTTGTTAAAAGGAAAATGCAAACTCCCTGTATCATGCCAGAAGAAAAGAGCCATCTTCTGCTATGGGACAGGAGAAAAGCCAAATTAATTAAGGGACTATTCTTTTACTAATCTCAACTCTGATTCTATTCTGATTCTTTAAACTTTTCTTAAAGTAAAAATTTTATATCAATTTTAAAACATTAATATATATACATATATATATATTTTAAACTTTGTTAAGATATGAATGGACATATAGAGTACTAACTAATTCTAGAAAAAAGGCTTCAATTAGCTGCATATATATGTCTTTGTGTTCGAGTCTCTTATCAGTTTTCTACAGGAAATCATGGCCAGGCCTAACATCAACTGAAGTCTCCAGGAAGAAGATGGGGCCCCACAACAACAACAATTCTACATGGACAATAATAATATCACTAAGCTGACAATCATCATCTACAGATCAGCTTTGAACTACAAAGTGCTCAGAGCAATTTTGAGAGGGCTAGCTGAGATGATCCAGTCTCAAAGACTACTTGAATAAGGACTTGAGATAAACCCTGAACTTTGGCATTATACACAGACTGGATAATGAAGGATATAGTTACCTTTCCTAGAATTTGACAATTAACCTAAAATTTTTCTTTCAGGATAAAGATACCTTCGCCCATACCCAGCAGGAAGCAATTTTAAGAATATGACACCCACATTCCCAAAGAGGTGGTGTGGGGAGGGTGGTTTTTTGTCTTTTAATGGGTTTTGGGTCTGGGATAATTTTCATTGTTTAGGGGGGTTGGTTACAAGTTGATGTCAAGAACTAGGAAAAGGGCTAAGCAAAGGAGATTAGATTTAAGATTCTTGTTTACAAAAAAAGAAAGAAAAAGACAATTACTAGTTTTAAATACTTTACATTGGATTGGATTGTTTTATATTACATACAAATTATATATATTGAAATTGATATTGTTAGAAAATGCTATATGTATATTTCTAATTGTACTTATACTGTTCATTTAACAAATAATTCAATTTTCTGATCCTTGAATATTATTATTACCAACTATTAGGATATAAAGAAATGAAAGTTAGTAGTTAGACATTACAATAGAACTTGTAGTCATATTAGGTATGTTTTAAAAATTGAGCAGATATATTTTAGATAGACAGGTCATCTTCAAACCCTTCAGAGATCTACAGAACATGGCATTTAAAATGTTTTAATAACTTAGAAAATTTTTCTTTTTTCTTATGACTATGAGACATGTCGGCTCCTGGCAGTACCAATCTACTTCAGAGAAAATATGGGCATTGAAGAAACTGCAATTGAAGTTAACTTTCATTGTGGCAAAAGTTAGCTACTGGACAACAAAGTATCCTCAAATCAACTACTGACAAACAGGACAAACAGGACACGAAACAAAGGACTGCTGATTCTTGCCAAAACAAGTGTGGTTATGGCTTTATCAAAAGGCATCTTCTGAAGCCAGGACAATATGGCACCATCCCTGAAATGGCCTTCACAATTCGGAAAAGGTACAGTGCCCTTTTCTTCGAAGGCAGCTGAACAGGCAGTGGGCCGATGGCCTCTGATGTGCAATGGAACAGCAGCTGAAACAGTTATTCTTGAAGAGTAACTAAGCTCATGCCTCTCAATAGTAGACTGGCATTTAATAGAGGGATGTGAAGAAGAATGGGATGCTGAGATGAAGCCATATATACACAACCAGGAAGAATGGACAGCTGAATTCAAAAACCATCAACAATTTTCAGAATTTAAAATCCTGAATCATGACATGACACTAGTGGAATTCAGGTGTTTCTGGTACATGGACTGCTCTCACCAATGTGAGGTTGAACTGTTGACCTTGTGTACATCCTACTTCACAAATGAGTCTGTCAGATACGCTAAGCCTATAGGCTGAAGATGATGCCCCAACACTGCGGAGAAAACTCAGGTGACTGTCCAGGCAGCTGGCTGTTTCTGTCAACTCACAAATTTTTTGGAAGTTGCTTGCATGCACTTCCTGTTTTTATTTTTGTTAGGTAATATTATTTCCTTCTTGGGTCTCTGAGGGAGTTGTAGATTAATTAGTTATACTTGAAGATTAGTTAGTTATAGTTGAAGATTAGTTATAGTTGAAGACTAGTTAGGATAGAAAGTGAATTAGGTACATTTTGGACTTACCAAAATAAGATAGATAATGGAATTATTTTCTCGGAATTTGTCAAATACAAATGGACTAGACATTGTTTAGGTATTTATTACTTGTATATATTATATATAGTTATTGTACTTTTGTATATTTTTTATGTTAGTTATAACCTTTTTCCTTTTTTCTTTTTATTAAAATAGAAAAGGGGAAATATGGTGATATTTTATTTGTACTGAAATGTGATTTTATTTGTATGTTAATAAATAAAGTTGCCTGGGGGTCAGAGCTAATAGCAAGCCATAGCAGAGCTGGGCATTCGTGGTGCATGCCTTTAATCCCAGCACTTGGTAGGCAGAGCTAGGTAGATCTCTGTGTGTTCAAGGACACAGCCAACAGACAGTGATGAGGCAGTCATGTGGTTGGTTTTACAACCAATGAGAAGGCAGAACAGAAAGTCTATATAAAGACAAACAGACAGGAAGTAGGTCTCTCTCGGAGAGGTCTCTTGGCTGAAGAGGCTAGCTGCAGCATGTGGGTAAGGCTCTTAGCTCTGATCTCTTGGCTTTCTTCTTTGCATTGGTTCTGTGTTTCTTATTTAATAAGATGGTTGGCTACATCTACATGAAGGATCTTTCTACTGGCACTTGGAGGGGACTGGATCCCGTGTTGGTGTGGGCCCAGGGATCTCTTTGTGTCTTTCTGCAGGACAATGAGGTTCCTCTTTGGGTTCCTGAGTGCTGTGTGTGCCCGATGGCTGCTGCTAAATCCCAATATGACAGAGACCTATTGGGCCTTTGTGAAAACCTCTCCCCTTCTGATGCCAATGGGGATTGAGAACCCAATACGGCCAGCCTTGACAAATATTAATGTAAGCCTAGGAACTGTAGCCATGCGGTTGGATTCTTCAGAAGGTAATGTGTGGTAACTGCTTTTTCAAGTGTGTTTGAGAATATGTCACCTGTTGGAGCCCGTTCTTGGGTTCCTCGTGGCTTTACCCAGCATTCCGCGTAGAGGATGATTAGGACCACAGGCCTGAGTGCAAGTGTCTGAGATGGTCTGCACTTGGCTGTGCTGGGGGAGGAGGTCTTTTGCTTCACCCCTTGGCAGCTCTATAAATTCCCTGGGTCAGAGACAGTCAGGGCCCGTTGGAAAAGGTTCCAGGCCCCTTCGAGGCTATCCTTTATTTTCTATCTGTTTATCTCCACGAGATTCTCCACAATAAATTTTTCTATCTAATATTTCCTGCTGGTCACACTCAAGAAAACTCTGGGAAACTGTGGGGTTGGTGGGTAAATGCCCCACAGTCACCCAGACACCTTGGAGATTAAGGATAACCCTAAAGGTCACTGACCTTCATTTGTTAAAAGTAGCATGCCAGCTAAGCCTTTTTCATTTTTGCAATCCTCTTCAAGCTGGTGTAGTACCTACTTTTCAGGAGTGGCTCTGTGCAACTTTTATTGGCCTCCTAAAATTCATCTAGCCTCCTTTAAAGATAACTTAAAATTTGTGAGCCTGAATGTAGCCATTATGAGACCATTAGTTCTGCTCCTTGCTTGCTGTCTGTTATTTTTTGTTCCTTTATGGTTCTTAGTTGTTCCTTTACAGAGCTGCCAGCTTAAGTCGTACTGGAATCAAGAAAAATGAGCCTTGGTGGTTCATGTTCCTGGAGCTGTGTCCATGCCAGTGGCCCGTGACAGTAAGACACAGATGATGACTCACACGCTCCAAAACAAAATTTGACATCGTTGCTGCTGTTGTTGTTATAATAGTGGTGGCCACTGTCACTATTGTTTCTAGGATTGCTATTTCATAATTGGTTACTACAGCTAGCACAGTGGAAACCCTGGCAGCAAAAGTAGCTACCACAGTTAATTAATCTTTCATTCTATTTGGCATAATAAATTTTATTCAATAGTTATACACATTTCAATTGGCTTTGATAGTTATAAAATTGATAAAATTCAAGTTCCACTTGCTTTTGGGATACCATCTTATAAGGACTCCAATTTGCAGTAAGCTTGTTAAGGAA